TCGTTTGAGGTAACCACCTCCTTAATTTTCGCCATGAACCCTTAGGGTTTCAAATTGAAACCGCCACCGACAAACCCAAAAACCTTTGATTTTTATTTTCAAAACAGATCCAGAAATGGAAAAAAAATTGAAGGGAAAATAAAAGAAAAATCCAAAAAATTCCGAAAAGTTACTGTTCATCCAAAAAATACTTTACTGTTCATCCGAAAAAATTTTCGTTACTGTTCACCGAACATTACTGTTCATCCGAGAACATTACTGTTCATCCGAACCCAAAAATTGAATCTTTAACCAGAGATTTAAGATCAAAAACCCAATAAAACTTAAATCCCTAAGAATTAATCAAGGTGGCTCTGATACCACTTGTTAGATCTACATCATAAAACTTGAGATCTAAAACCATATAGCCATGATTAATTCAAAGAGATTAACAAGGATCTAAAAGAGCGGAAGCTTATACCTGAATCCATTGCTTGATCTTGATTTTGGGTTTTGGATCTTCTAACCTTAGGGTTTCCTCTAAAACCGAATTTCTCTCTTAAATGGGGGTGAAGAGAATTAGAGAATGTAACCCTAGGTTAGGGACCATAACCCCTTATTTATAGATGTTGTACTTTTGTAATTTAGCCCCTCAATAAATTACAATTACAACCTGGTATCTGCACATATGACCCCATGATCTATTTAAATACCAAATTAACCCAACTTAATTGATCACTTTAGTGGGTTATCCTGAAAGATAGCAATACACATTGTTTAATCATATGTGCTCACAAATAGATTTATTAGATTAAATCCAACATGTTTCACCCAAAGAATTAGGAATAGGATTAGGAATCAGAATAAAAAAGAGGAGAGGTGTCAGAAATTCCACCCAATTCCTAGCGAATAAAAAAGAGGAGAGGTGTCAGAAATTCCACCCAATTCCTAGCAAATGGACTGGATTTGGATTTCCTAAAATATACACTGTTTGAGCCACTTTATAGATTAGCAATTCTATAAATTTTTTGAACCAAACTCAAGATTAGGATTCATTTGGAATCCATTAATTATGAAAACGCCATTGTCAGGTCCAAATATCATTCCTATTCCATAAAATTGGTAAAACAAACAGGCCCTTAAATTACATTGTGAATTTATCGTGTCTTTATAAAGATTTATAATTTATAGTTTGTGGTTATGAAAAACCAACTACAACTGACACATCTTTTAATATAAAACTTCAGAAAAGTCAAACGGCATATGGTAAAGTGATTTAAATATTCACGAGAATGTTTTTTTTGGTGTGTAAAACTTTTACTTTAGGTTTACCTACTTATAAATATGAAAGTTAACTATATACATTTTCATTTTTGATTGATGCATACAATATAATGGTTGTGTTTTATCCCCACCTCCCACCCCCAAAAGAAATCTTGACTCTGTCACTGCTGGTTGATTGTCCGCTGAAAATGAGCCCTGAGTAGTCAGATTGTGTAGATAAATGAGTTATGTTGACAGAAGTGCATAACGATATTTATATCACTGATCATCTTGCTAATTCTTCTATGTACATTAATAGCTGTCACTACTTGAAGAATAGAAACAAAGAAAGCAGCAATAGACAAGCCGCAACTAGCTAGCTAAGCTGAAGCTAAACAAGTTACAAGCAAATATATATGGGCTTTGTAGAATCTGTGCATCGAGAATCTCATACTTGCTTTAGATTTAGTAAGAGACTGACAAAGAGGGCCAGCTAGCAACTCATACGGATGGAAAAATTGTTCATTCGACTCAAAAGGCTGTCACTGGTTCATTGTCTCGTGCAGATATATGCATACATAGTAGGCTTCACGATAAGAGTGCGGTCTCTCTGGTCATGAGATTCAATCTATTTTAAAGCCCAATATTCAGATTCTATGAGATACATCCTCTGAATGTGTTGTAAGGGTGTGTTTGGATTTCAATGGGGTTAAGGGAAGTTAAAGGCTTGTTTGGATTGAGGGGAATGAGGGTGAAGGGAAGTTAGGGGAACCATTCACCTCCATTCACCTTGTTTGGGAACACTTAGGAGGTGAAGTTAATTCATCCTAGTTCCCCTTGGTTCACCCCCTAATTTCACCTTGTTTGGGAACACTTAGGAGGTGAAGTTAATTCATCCTAGTTCCCCTTGGTTCACCCCCTAATGGTATAAAAATTGGTACCCCCAAATTGGGGTGTAACCAAGGGGAAGGGAATTTTCCTTCTCTTCCCTTCCCTTCCCTTCACTCAGTTTCCCTTAACTTCCCTTCACCCCCTACAAATCCAAACAGGCCCTAAGGGAAACTAGGTGAGAGAATAGAAGGGAATGGAAGGGAGTTCCCTTCCCCTTGGTTACACCCCAATTTGAGAGCTAACAAATTTTATACTATTAGGGAGTGAACCAAGGGGAACTAGGGTGAATAACTTCACATCCTAAATGTTCCCAAACAAGGTGAATGGTTCTCCTAACTTCCCTTCACCCTTATTCCCCTCAATCCAAACAAGCACTTAATCTTTGATGTTCAAGCTCCGTCAAAGTGCATAGATGCCACCTGATGTCAATATGTTATCGAGTGACCATCTGATATTTAATGTGTCACAAAGCAACATAGATGTCACATGACATCAAAATGTTAATCGAGCAATCATCTGATATCTAGTGTGTTGCATAATTACTCTCTTTCTCTGATAGGCATTAAATATACATACATTATAGGCTTCATAATTAAGAGTGCGGTCTCTCTGGTCATGAGATTCGATCTATTTCAAAGCCCAATAGTCCAGTTCCAGGAATATTGCCCAGATTCTATGAGATACATCCTCTCGATGTGTTGTATTGGGAGAAATTATGTAATCTTTGATGTTCAGACTCCATCAAAGCACATAGATGCCATCTAACGTCAATATGTTATCGAGTGATCATCTGATACTCAATGTTGCAGAACAACGTAGATGTCACA